AGAGGGGAGTTGGAGTTGGGGGTAGAAGGGGGTTGGAGTTGGCGATAGAGGGAGTTTGGAGTTGGCGGTAGAAAGGGTAGAACGTGGTGGTAGAGGAGGTTGAGTTTTTGGTACGGGGCGTTGGGTTGGAGTTGATGGGAGCGATCCGTGAGGAGATTTAAAGTCTTGAATCCGATCTTTAAAAAAAAAATTAGCTTCGCTTTTCTTTGTGGCTGACTGCAAAATTTTAGGATGGCTAATTGACCCACTCTCTGTCAACCCACGCGCGCATGAGACTCCATGCCGGTGACAACATATTCTATCAACTGTTCAGCCCCAACTCCCAAAAAACAGCTTTTCCTGATTTTCAAAGGGAACATGAAGGGATAGGTTGCCATTGATGTCGCGAAATAAAATTCCCGATATCTGCGCCGAAGGAGATTCTTTAAGAAAAAAATATCGAAAGTGCGTTCGGTGCCCAATATTTCCATTTGTTTTTCTGAAATAGTTAACGAAATAATTCCGCGGTGTAAAAGAGGGTTGGTCATTAGTATATTACTATAGCTCATGGGTGTGAAAAAAAATGTGCGGTTGTGAGCCTTTGGGGGGGGGGGGGGGGGGCTAGCACTAATTGGGATTCTTATAAAGTGCGTTAATGCTTGTGTTATGGATGTTTTGTCACATGTTCAGCCCCATCCAGTCCCAGTGCTCAATATGACATTTTATAATAGATGTATACGAAACGCTTTGTTTTTAGGAGGCTGCTCAATACCTTTACAATGGGTTGTTCAATACCTTTACCATGGGTTGTTTCATACCTTTACCATGGTTTGTTTAATACCTTTACCATGGGTTGTTTAATACCTTTACCATGGGTTGTACAATTCCTTTACCATGGGTTGTGCAATACCTTTACAATGGGTTGTTAAATACATTTACCACGGGTTGTTTAATACCTTTACAATGGGTTGTTAAATACCTTTACCATGGGTTGTACAATACCTTTATCATGGGTTGTTTAATACCTTTACCATGGGTTGTTGAATAACTTTACCATGGGTTGTTCAATACCTTTACCATGGGTTGTTTAATACCTTTACCATGGGTTGTTTAATACCTTTACCATGGGCTGCTCAATACCTTTACCATGGGCTGTTCAATACCTCTACCATGGGTTGTTCAATACCTTTACCATGGGCTGCTCAGTACCTTTACCATGAACTGTTCAATACCTTTACCATGGGTTGTTCAATACCTATACCATGGGTTCTTTAATACCTTTACCATGGGTTGTTTAATACCTTTACCATGGGTTGTACAATACCTTTACCATGGGTTGTTTAATACCTTTACAATGGGTTGTTCAATACCTTTACCATGGGTTGTGCAATACCTTTACAATGGGTTGTTAAATACCTTTACCATGGGTTGTTTAATACCTTTACCATGGGTTGTTGAATAATTTTACCATTGGTTGTTCAATACCTTTACCATGGGTTGTTGAATACATTTACCATGGGTTGTTGAATACCTTTACCATGGGTTGTTTAATACCTTTACCATGGGCTGCTCAATACCTTTACCATGAACTGTTCAATACCTTTACCATGGGTTGTTCAATACCTATACCATGGGTTCTTTAATACCCTTACCATGGGTTGTTGAATACCTTTACCATAGGTTGTTCAATACCTTTACCATGGGTTGTTTAATACCTTTAACATGGGTTGTTCAATACATTTACCATGTGCCAACGCAGTAACCATTGAAATTCGTGGCTATCTTATGATCTAATTCCCAAGTGGATGTTCGCCCCGGCTGCGCAGCGTTATGCACTTTCATTTGCTGTTTCGTCTCTAGTGCGCACGTACGCACCAAACGCACAGATAACATATTTTCTAAAAGAAATGCACATTAAAGCACCGCGGGGAGCAACACAAAAATAATTAATCCCCAAAATGTTTCATGACATCACAAGAAATGTTACATCACAAGAAATGTTACATCACAAAAAAATTACATCACCAAAATATTACACCACCAAGTTATTAAATCACCAAATTATTACATCATCAAAATACCGCATCACCAACAGACAAGAATATAAGTAGATTATAAATGCATTAATAAAGCATACATAGTAACGTATCAATAAAGTATACATAGTAATGTATCAATAAAGAATACATAGTAATGTATCAATGAAGTCTACATAGAAATGTATCAATAAAGTATACATAGAAATGTATCAATAAAGTATACATAGTAATGTATCAATAAAGTATACATATTAATGTATCAATAAAGTATACATATTAATGTATCAATAAAGTATACATAGTAATGTATCAATAAAGTATACATAGAAATGTATCAATAAAGTATACATAGAAATGTATCAATAAAGTATACATAGTAATGTATCAATAAAGTATACATAGTAATGTATCAATAAAGTACACATAGTAATGTATCAAATAAGTATACATACTAATGTATCAAAAAGTATACATAGAAATGTATCAATGAAGTATACATACTAATACATCAATAAAGTATACATACTAATGTCTCAATATAGTATACATAGTTACTTAAGAAAACTATTGCAGACAGTGCCGAAATTAAGACCCATGGGACCCTCTAGGCCAGCGGTTCTCAACCTTCCTAATGCCGCGACCCTTTAAGACAGTTCCTCATGTTGTGGTGATCCCCAAACATAACATTAATTTCGTTGCTGTGTCATAAATGTAGAGTATATGCGTTTTCCGGTGGTCTTTGGCGACCCCTGGGAAAGGGTCGTTCGACCCCCAAAGGGATCGCCACCCACAGGTTGAGAACCGCTGCTCTAGGCAGTTACAATTATGTCTCCACCAGAGGCGTAGCTAGGGGCCTTGTAGGGGTTGACAGCCCGGCTCGTACTATGGGGTATAATTTTGACCTTTCATTGTATACTTTGATGTGTGTGTTCGGGCGCATTTTTGGGCATTTCCCCGGAGGGCACTTAGTCAAGGTACGCTTCTCAACCTCTCCCCCCACCCACCCCTCCTATGCGAATACCCACATCCTTCACTTTCATTTGGAGTCAATCTTTTTTTCCACACCACCATTTAGGCAGAGAAATTACATAATATTTTTTTCTCCATGTTTTGATAACGTGCCTAATTGACTGACCCACTTAGCTGACATTGTACTTTTTATTCTGATTCTATTCATCCTTGCAATCATCAAAAGTTGTCTATCTCCCTGCGTCCCCCCTTTGACTCATCAAAAGTTGTCTATCTCCCTGAGTCCCCCCTTTGACTCATCAAAAGTTGTCTATCTCCCAGAGTCCCGTCTTTGGCTCATCAAAAGCTGAAAATCTCCCAGAGTCCCCTCTTTGACTACGACCGTCTTTGACTACGACCGTTTTCGGACATGTTTACGACTTTCTCTTAATTTGTATTTTTCCCCTCAATCCTACAAGTATTTTTCAGAGGCGAAGCGAAAGGGGGGGAGAGCGCAGGGGGAAATCCTACAAGTATTTTTCAGAGGCGAAGCGAAAGGGGGGGGGAGGGCAGGGGGGGGGAGGGCAGGGGGGGACAGATGTCCCCGGGCGCCAGCGAGTTAAGGGGCACCGAATTTGCTTTGATATTATTTCATTGATCAAGATATTGGGTCTGAGAGTTGGAAAAAGAAAAGGGGGTGCTTTAAAATGAATCGTGTCCCCGGGCGCCAAACATCCTCGCTACGCCTCTGGTATATTCAAAATCAAATCAATTCCCCCACACCCCCCGCCTCTTGTAAAAACTGAACCCCTCATCACGGGGCAACCTAAATGGCTTGGCGCTCCAGACGCGTGCCTCGTATTCCTTTAGTTTGATCCGCCACTGAGCGTAGAGTAGATAGCATTATTGGTTGACATCACGACGAATGTGTTACAATTGCTGCATCGCCACATTATGACCAAAAAGATTCCCGGACCAGCACCCCCCCCCCCTGGACTAGAGTACTTCTCAGTAGCTAGCACTGTAATCTCTAATCTTCTTGTGTTGCTTGCGTCACTGACGTAAGGCCGTGGAATAACCTGGCAGAATGTTGGATTTAACAGGTTTTTTTCCCCTCTCTTATGTTCTGTCCTTTGAGTTGACCTCATTTTAGCTTAGATAACCATAGCCACTCTATACAGATTGGGGGGCCAGGTACTCTTCCCCTACTTTTACCCTTTCGTTATCTTGAAAATTTAACACAATATTGAGCATTTGGATGCTCAATACTTGTGACGTACACCGATGCTAAAAGGGACGATATCCCATTGCATTGCTCTTTATTGACTGTCTGCATTGGACGCATTTCTGGTATCGCAAAGTTAGACAGCTGGTCAACAATGTCCCCGGTGTAGCCACACGGTTTATGCATGTGCCTAGATATCCTTTGTGCTTTTTTGGGAGGCTTTTTTTCGCGGCACACCGGGCATCATCTCGCGGCACACCGGGCATCATCTCGCGGCTCATCGGTTGCAAGGCTCTGAGTTCTTAGATGCTCAACCCTAGTGACGTACAGCTGGCCATTGAATTAAGTAGAGAAGGGCCAACGTCACTGATGCCTCGCGCTCATAAATCCGTCCGTGGGGGAGGCACAGATCGCTCGAGATATCGATACTAAATTTTATATTGATGCTTCGATTCTGGCTGACGATACTGCAAATTTTGATCATGGTCAGGCACAGGACGCTGGGCCTGGTATCGATACCAGGGTTCTAAAATGAAGGTTTAAGAAGCAAGTACTTGTCACACAGCTATTGACTGGGTGCTGGTGAGGTGATGACTTGCTGAGCGTAGTATCGATACTGGATCTCTATTGTTAGCAAGCAGTTCGATACGAGGCTTGGAGATGCTTGACCGAGGACGCCAGTGAGCAGGTACAATTGCCTGGCGAAACACGGAGTCATGAGGTACAGGAGTCAAACATTTGATCGTGTGGTGGTCTCTAGTTTAGAGAACGATGAGCGGAGAGTGTGTAGCACGTTTGTGTTTGATTCTGGGGATAACTTCTTGGTGTGTTGATTTCCAGACTGAGTTATCTTATCGTGGATTTGACAAGGTAAGCTGGTCAAGTGGCTAGTGGTAGATATTAAGTGAGATGGTCAAGTGGCTAGTGGTAGATATTGATTAAGATGGTCTAGTGACCAGAGATATATGTTAAGTAAGGTCGTCAAGCGGCTTGTTGTAGATATTTATTAAACTGGTCAAGCGGCTAGATGTAGATATTTATTAAACTGGTCAAGCGGCTAGATGTAGATATTTATTAAACTGGTCAAGCGGCTAGATGTAAATATTTATTAAACTGGTCAAGCGGCTAGATGTAGATATTTATTAAACTGGTCAAGCGGCTAGATGTAGATATTAAGTAAGGTCGTCAAATGGCTAGATGTAGATTTTAAGTAAGATGGTCAAGGGGCTAGACGTAGATATTATGTAAACTGGTCAAGCGGCTAGATGTAGATATTTATTAAACTGGTCAAGCGGCTAGATGTAGATATTAAGTAAGGTCGTTAAATGGCTAGATGTAGATTTTAAGTAAGATTGTCAAGGGGGTAGACGTAGATATTATGTAAACTGGCCAAGCGCCTAAACGTAGACATTAAGTAAAGTGGTCAAGTGGCCAGTTGTAGATATTGTTAGGTGGACATTCGTAATCTAGGTGCGCCCATCCATAGTGCAGTTTGGTAACATTTTTTTTTAAAGTTAAAGGAATAGTCTCTAAAGTATTTGAACAGATGTGGTGATATAGAACTGTAAAGGAAAATAACGATGTTTTAATGAATGAGATTAGAGAGTAAAGGGACAGTCTTGAACGTCACTGTCTTATGTACATAACCATCAAGTTAGGAAGTCTTTGGCGTGATCAGATAAAAAAAAGTTGTTGCATTGTTAAATTCTCTTCTGTTTTGCTTGGAGTTAGTACCACAATTGAAAGAATTTTCACAATGGAGGATCTCTTTTTAACCATGATAATCGTTCATTGTTCATGTGGATTCGACACATTTTCTTACAGTCTGCATTGACCAAAGTGGCTGGACCAACAATCGTCTGGGACTCGACAAACAAGCAACCGCTGGTCTTTAAGTGACCAGCAGACAGTCTACATTGACTAAATTGGTAAGGACATCTATCAGGGACATTACCAACAACGCTGGTCTCTAACTGACCAACTCACATACCTTTTCCGGGACTTCGAGGGTCAGTGGCCTGACAGGTCACGGACGGTTGATCCAAATTTAGATTTTAATTTGATTGGTTAGAATTTCATGGATGAATCGGGTGGTGGAATGTAACCAAACGTGCTGCCCTCAAATGTAAACATGATGTTAACAGAAATAAGCTGAGGCAGTTATATTGTTGTAGCTAGAACACATAGACCAAAAGTGACAATTTCCATTATTGGCTATCCCTGTTCACAAGACCAAGATGGAAGCCTTGCTACAGAATCCAGTGTTTAGAATGAAGATGAAATCTCTAAGCCCATCGACTCGTGTGAGTATTTGATATATTTCATTCTAAATTGTATTTCACTGCATAGCGACATGTCTAATAATTTATTTCGCATTTTAAACAAATACAGTAATTAAAAGTACTAATATAAACGACTTTCAAACAACTGCTTTGCTGTTTATTGTAAAATAAAAAGATTTGAAGTGATGCGATGTTAATTTTAAAAATACACGAGAATAGTCATTGACGTACACATCAAACATTGATGACGTCAGAAAAAACCCCATAAAGGTCTGTGAACAAAACTTTTTTCTACTCTCAAAGAACCATTTTTTAGGGGGGGGGGTATTTCTTTATTTGATACTCTCAGCCCCAAACAAACTCTGACACTCACACATACACATACACCAACTCGCAAGTCAGCAGAAACGTGCACAGCTAACCTCTATCAGTCTGGCAGACTTGATTAAACATTCCCCTTCCAACAAACATCTCAGCTGGGTTTCTTCAATTATCTTCATTTAACAGGAAGTGATGCTTCATTGGAAATTCTCTCTTGATAAAAATGAATTCAACGTGCTCAGTGGGGGCGGGGGGGGGGGCGCGGGTGGGGGGGTGTGGAAGCAACTGGCGATGGCAACATGGTTGACATCTTGGTTAAACATTGTGTGTTGCCGGTTGGCTGGTTTGTCACTTCTGTATTTGTCACGGTTACGGGTTCTCCACATAACGCAGGGAGTTTGACGACATAATACACAGAGTTTGATGACATAATACATGAAGTTTGACGACATAATACACAGAGTTTGATGACAAAGTACATGAAGTTTGACGAAATAATACACAGAGTTTGATCACATAATACACGGAGTTTGATGACATAATGAACGGAGTTTGGTGAATTGATGCACAGAGTTTGATGAAATGAAACACAGAGTTTGATTACATGATAAACTGAGTTTGATGACATAATAGACAGAGTTTGATGAAATAATACACAGAGTACTGTTGGAAATAGTATGATTTATTACCGCACTGTTGGCAATAGTATGACTTATTGCCGAGCTGTTGGCAATAGTATGACTTATTCCCGAGCTGTTGGCAATAGTATGATTTATTCCCGAACTGTTGGCAATAGTATGATTTATTGCCGAAATTTTGGACATAACATGATTAATTGCCGAAATGTTGGAAATAGTATGATTTATTTCTGCACTGTTGGCAATAGTATGATATATTGTCTGACAGCGAAGCGTTATCTCACTCATTTATTCAACATATTTTTGGCCGCAAGGAGTTACTGCAGTAATTACTCAAGAGTTGATAACAGTGACCGCTACCGTGTGTAGTGTACAGGTCAATCACACTTCCCTATGTGTAGTGTACAGGTCAATCAGACTGCCATGTGTGTAGTGTACAGGTCAATCACACTGCCGTGTGTGTAGTGTACTGGTCTGCTGGCCTTTCACCAAGGTACGCTCTTGGCCTTTCATCAAAGGTACGCTGCTGGCCTTTCATCAAAGTACTCTGCTGGCCTTTCATTAAGGTACTCTGCTGGCCTTTCATCAAGGTACGCTCTTGGCCTTTCATCAGGGTACGCTGCTGGCCTTTCATCAAGGTACGCTCTTGGCCTTTGATCAAGGTACTCTGCTGGCCTTTCATCAAGGTACGCTCTTGGCCTTTCATATAAGGTACGCTGCTGGCCTTTCATCAAGGTACGCTCTTGGCCTTTCATCAAGGTACTCTGCTGGCCTTTCATCAAAGCACTCTGCTGGCCTTTCACCAAGGTCCTCTGCTGGCCTTTCATCAAGGTACGCTCTTGGCCTTTCATCAAGGTTCGCTCTTGGCCTTTCATCAAGGTACGCTACTGCACCCCGCCCCCCCCCCCTTACAAATCTCTTATCTTCAACATTGAGTTTAAGAATCACGATTATAAAGTTCATTTGTTTGGAATGTGTGCTTTGATATTCACTGACCTAATAAGCTTACAATTTCATTGTCTCGACAGTATCTTTTAATTCCAACCCATCATTTAAAAAATTCAGTTGTAGGACAATTTTACGACCCGGGTTGTTTCCCTTGCTGATTTATTAAAAATTTGTCTCCCTTTAATTCTATGACTTTTTATTTTTGGAGAAGACCATCAGAACTCTTTATTACGACAAGATCAAATGAGACGCTGAACTAAGATTTTATGAAGCGAAATAAAACGGGAGATGTCCAAGTTTTTGTGTGATGACGTCATGCTTGCTTTAAATTACTCGTAATGGAAAGAAAAACTGATGAAAGTCCAAGATAAAAGTTAAAAAATAGATTACTATCCTATGCTCATACGTCATAGAAACATAGTCATATTTTATTTTTATATTTGTCATAGTAAGTAGAGTCATCTAGATATAAGCATAATAATAATAAATTTGGATTTTTTAAAGCTGACAACTTAAAGCTTTGAACAAATTAATTTTTAAAATATTTCCATCAATCCAAAATCGTTTTGGAGGTTAAGAAAAGTTGTCAGAATTTTTTATTTTATTGCGCTGGTAACACCGCTGGACTCTAAAAGGTTTGGAGCCCCTATGCACGTGCCTCATTTGCCTTTAGGTTAATCCGGCACCCGATTTTCTGGCCCATCGACCCCCCCCCCCAATAAAAAATAAAAAAATCCTACCGGGGCCTTGTGTGTAGTGTACTGGTTAATAATCTGGGTCTTAAATCAGGACTCTAAAAGGTTTGGAGCCCCTATGCACGTGCCTCATTTGCCTTTAGGTTAATCCGGCCCCCGATTTTCTGGCCCCTCGACCCCCCCCCCCCCAATAAAAAATAAAAAAATCCTACCGGGGCCTTGTGTGTAGTGTACTGGTTAATAATCTGGGTCTTAAATCTAACTTGGAGCACATTACCAGGTGAAGTGTTCAAGTTTAGTTAGTGGCCGTACTGTCACAATTAAAACTCTAAAATGTGTGGCTTCTATTGACAGGACTTTCCTGTCATGGTTGGGGGGGGGGGATAAATCGCACTTGCCTACGTCACCGACAACAACAACAGCCGCATCAGCATAGACAGTATTGTCCACGTTGATTAAGTGTAAACGTCATCAGCTACACACAGCGTTTCAATTCCATTTGGTGACGTAACATCTAACATTAAAGAGTTCACTCGTTTTTTTTTTTTCAAGATTGAAATTGTCAGGGTCTATTCGAATTATCCCTAGAGATATCTGCCTTTTGATCAACTTCCTTTTGATCAACTTCCTTTTGATCAACTTTCTTTGGATCAGCTTCCTTTTGATCAGCTTCCTTTTGATCAACTTCCTTTTGATCAATTTCCTTTTGATCAACCTCCTTTTGATCAATTTCCTTTTGATCAACTTCCTTTTGATCAATTTCCTTTTGATCAGCTTCCTTTTGATCAACTTCCTTTTGATCAATTTCCTTTTGATCAACTTCCTTTTGATCAATTTCCTTTTGATCAATTTCCTTTTGATCAACTTCCTTTTGATCAACTTCCTTTGGATCAACTTCCTTTTGATCAATTTCCTTTTGATCAACTTCCTTTTGATCAATTTCCTTTTGATCAACTTCCTTTTGATCAATTTCCTTTTGATCAGCTTCCTTTTGATCAACTTCCTTTTGATCAATTTCCTTTTGATCAACTTCCTTTTGATCAATTTCCTTTTGATCAATTTCCCTTTGATCAACTTCCTTTTGATCAACTTCCTTTGGATCAACTTCCTTTTGATCAACTTCCTTTTGATCAGCTTCCTTTTGATCAACTTCTAATTGGATCAACTTCCTTTTGATCAACTTCCTTTTGATCAACTTCCTTTTCATCAACTTCCTTTTGATCAACTTCCTTTTGATCAACTTTCTTTGGATCGACTTCCTTTTGATCAGCTTCCTTTTGATCAACTTCCTTTTGATCAATTTCTTTTTGATCAACCTCCTTTTGATCAATTTCCTTTTGATCAACTTCCTTTTGATCAATTTCCTTTTGATCAGCTTCCTTTTGATCAACTTCCTTTTGATCAATTTCCTTTTGATCAACTTCCTTTTGATCAACTTCCTTTGGATCAACTTCCTTTTGATCAATTTACTTTTGATCAACTTCCTTTTGATCAATTTCCTTTTGATCAACTTCCTTTTGATCAACTTCCTTTTGATCAACTTCCTTTTGATCAACTTCCTTTGAATCAACTTCCTTTTGATCAACTTCCTTTTGATCAGCTTCCTTTTGATCAAATTCCATTTGATCAACTTCCGTTGGATCAACTTCCTTTTGATCAACTTCCTTTTGATCAATTTCCTTTTGATCAAATTCCATTGGATCAACTTTTTTTTGATCAACTTCCTTTTGATCAACTTCATTTGAATCAACTTCCTTTTGATCAACTTCCTTTTGATCAGCTTTCTTTTGATCAACTTCCTTTTGATCAACTTCCTTTTGATCAACATCTTTTGGATCAACTTCCTTTTGATCAGCTTCCTTTTGATCAACTTCCTTTTGATCAACTTCCTTTTGATCAATTTCCTTTTGATCAGCTTCCTTTTGATCAATTTCCTTTTGATCAACTTACTTTTGATCAATTTCCTTTTGATCAACTTCCTTTTGATCAACTTCCTTTTAATCAGCTTCCTTTTGATCAACTTCCTTTTGATCAACTTCCTTTTGATCAATTTCCTTTTGATCAACTTCCATTGGATCAACTTCCTTTTGATCAACTTCCTTTTGATCAACTTCCTTTTGATCAACTTCCTTTTGATCAACTTCCTTTTGATCAACTTCCTTTTGATCAATTTCCTTTTGATCAACTTCCATTGGATCAACTTCCTTTTGATCAACTTCCTTTTGATCAGCTTCCTTTGGATCAACTTCCTTTTGATCAACTTCCTTTTGATCAGCTTCCTTTTAAGCAACTTCCTTTTGATCAACTTACTTTTGATCAGCTTCCTTTGGATCAACTTCCTTTTGATCAACTTACTTTTGATCAACTTCCCTTTGATCAATTTACTTTTGATCAACTTCTTTTTGATCAACTTCCCTTTGATCAACGTCCTTTTAAAACCTGCACTTGTGATCAATTTATGTATTGTTCGATCATAATTTATATCCCAATTTACTCATGATGTGACAGTCAGCACTTGATGTGATAGTCAGCACTATGATACACACATATTCTCTACCATCCAGTCTACTCATGATGTGATAGTCAGCACTATGATACACACATATTCTCTACCATCCAGTCTACTCATGATGTGATAGTCAGCACTATGATACACACATATTCTCAACCATCCAATTTACTCATGATGTGATAGTCAGCACTATGATACACACATATTCTCTACCATCCAGTCTACTCATGATGTGATAGTCAGCACTATGATACACACATATTCTCAACCATCCAGTTTACTCATGATGTGATAGTCAGCACTATGATACACACATATTCTCTACCATCCAGTCTACTCATGATGTGATAGTCAGCACTATGATACACACATATTCTCAAACATCCAATTTACTCATGATGTGATAGTCAGCACTATGATACACACATATTCTCAACCATCCAGTTTACTCATGATGTGATAGTCAGCACTATGATACACACATATTCTCTACAATCCAGTCTACTCATGATGTGATAGTCAGCACTATGATACACACATATTCTCAACCATCCAGTTTACTCATGATGTGATAGTCAGCACTATGATACACACATATTCTCAACCATCCAGTTTACTCATGATGTGATAGTCAGCACTATGATACACACATATTCTCTACCATCCAGTTTACTCATGATGTGATAGTCAGCACTATGATACACACATATTCTCTACCATCCAGTCTACTCATGATGTGATAGTCAGCACTATGATACACACATATTCTCTACCATCCAGTCTACTCATGATGTGATAGTCAGCACTATGATACACACATATTCTCAACCATCCAGTCTACGCATGATGTGATAGTCAGCACTATGATACACACATATTCTCTACCATCCAGTTTACTCATGATGTGATAGTCAGCACTATGATACACACATATTCTCTACCATCCAGTCTATTCACCCCCTAACAATCAATCTCACTACCTAACAATCTATCTACCTACTTAACATCTACCCACCTAAAATCCACATACACATCTAAACATTCATCTACCTAACAAATCCATGTATTCACCTAACAAACCTTGCTTCCTTCTTACATGCCATCTACCCAACAAACAATCCATCTACCAACAAAACAGTCCATCACCCACCAAACAATCGATCGATCCGGCTAACAATTTATCTACTCACAAAACAAACCCAATAAGCAATCCATCTACCCACCAAAAATCCATCTATCCCTTTAACTATGCATCTATCAATCAAACCATCCATCTACCCAGCTAACCATCCATCTATCCACCTGATTAATCCACCCACCCACCTAACAATCAACCTACCCCCCCCCAAAAAAAAAAAAAAAAAAAAAAAAAAAAAAAACACAATAAATATACCCACCTAACTATTCACCTACCCAACTAACAATCCATCTGCCTACCTAACCAGCCATGTGCCCACCTAATGATCTATCTACCCGCATTACATCTCCCACCCTAGCCTCCAAGTATAAACATTCTCACCTAACAAACCAATCAATAATAGACCGTCCATTTAAAAAGCAAACTTGGGCCTGTCCACAAACACAGCCCAACAAAGCCTATTGGAATACGCTCAATATCATAGTAGAGCCCCACCATGGATCAATAACTGATGTTCTAAACTGCAGTTTTATAGTTTTAATACTAGTCCCAAGGAAAGGCTGAGAACAGGGATAGAGGGATGAGTTGAAAAGTGGGGCATATTCCAAACATTAAAGTTGTCAAGATCCAGCAAGATCCAGTCAAGGTGGACGTTTTTCAGGCATGTCAGCGCTCTAAGTAGTCAGAACTGTCAGTATCCAGAGCTGTCAGTAGCCAGAGCTGTCAGTAATAAGAGATGACAGCAGTCAGAGCTTTTATTAGTCAGAGCTGTCAGTAGTCAGAGCTGACAGTAACTAGAGCTGTCAGTATCAGGAGCTGACAGTAACCAGAGCTGTCAGCATCCAGAGCTGCCAGTAATAAGTGCTGTCAGTATCCAGAGCTGACAGTAACCAGAGCTGTCAGAGCCAGAGCTGTCAGTAATCAGAGCTGACGGTAGTCAGAGCTGTAACTAAAGTCTTGGCGAAATTGTGTTCACATAAGAAAGAAAAGAGAAATACTTCATTTTTAGTCCCATCTCGTGCCACGAATCCATACAAGAGGCGTTGAGTCGACATGATACTGGAAAGAGCTGCGTGTAGGAATGTACATTTTGGGAAGAGCTGCTTGTAGGAGATAACATAATTCTGGCGAGAGTTGATTATAGAAGCCGAAATACTACCGGGAACTGAAAAAGAGTTCATTTTAGGGCTGATGACACCGGTTGAGAGTTTGAAAAATCAAAAATAGTGTAAAGTTACATTTTCATTACGTTTTAGTTTCTCAGACCAACTCCCCATACTAATTCAAACATATTTCGTGCAAGACTCTTTTGAAGCTATATTTAAGCAGCTGTCAATGAAGTGAACAAATAAACGGTTGCGTGTCACGTGAATTGAATGATAGCCGACATTTTTGTGAACTTGAGCCACATATCACATCAGAATGGCGCTCATTCTTGCATGTTGTCAACATCCGGTTTCTTTGTAAGCCAGAAAAGGCAACAAGTTGAAACAACCTCATTACTCACACTGTCGCGCATCGATTCTTTATATCTCAACTGTTTGCAGATCGATTAATTTTTGAAGATATTGATTTCAAGTCACCGTCTTTACTTGAATTTCGAATTCCGCGTGCGAATTTCTATAGTTTCTTCATTCATTCTGATATTTGGTTAGTATCTTCTCTCATTCTGATTTTTTGGGGTAGTTTCTTCTCTCATTCTGATATTGGGTAGTTTCTTCTCTCATTCTGATATTTGGTAGTTTCTTCTCTCATTCTGATATTTGGTAGTTTCTTCTCTCATTCTGATATTTGGTAGTTTCTTCTCTCATTCTGATATTTGGTAGTTTCTTCTCTCATTCTGATATTTGGTAGTTTATTCTCTCACTCTGATATTTAGTACTTTCTTTTCTCACTGTGATATTTAATAGTCTCTTCTCTCACTCCCATATTTGCCATATTTGATTGGTTGACTGGATTTCATTCACAACTGCCAATCGAGTCAACTTCTCTTGCCTGATCCATAGTCAAGAAATGATTGGACGCTATTTATAGGACCAAACTCCAAAATATCGATCTGTAGAAGACTGTGAATTGGTTTTCGATGGAGACCAGGAGATGGCATAACTCAGGGAAGCCTTCCACACGTCGTTCAATAGTTATTAGGAGGACTTACATGATAGGACCCTGTAGGCCAGTTGATAGGACTTTCATGACAGGACCCTATTGGCCAGTTGATAGAAGGACTTACATGATAGGACAATGGTGGCCAGTTGATAGAATGACTTACATGATAGGAGAACTTACATGCTAGGAATGTTGACCAGTTGATAGGAGGACTTACATGATAGGACGATGTTGGCCAGTTGATAGAAGGACTTACATGATAGGAGAACTTACATACAAGGAATTTTGACCAGTTGATAGGAGGACTTACATGATATAACCCTGGGGATGGGAGGACTTACATGATAGGACCCTGTTGATATGAGGTCTAACATAATAGGCCCTTGTTGAAGGGAGGACTTACATGATAGAACCCAGTTGGCCAGTTGATAGGAGGACGTACATGCCACGAACCTGTTGGCCAGTAACCTTAAAGTCGCCAGAAGTAGCCCGGCGGCTGAGATAGCGATGCCACACTATACTCTTGTTTACATCGCTGTATAGATCAGGTTCCTGTGTCAATTAATAAAATATCATGATAATGAAGACACATAAATAACATCATGCTAATGAAGATACAATAACAACATCATGATAATGAAGATACAATAACAACATCATGATGATGAGGATACAATAACAACATCATGATAATGAGGATACATCAACATTATGATAATGAAGATACATCAACAACATCCTGATAATAATGAAGATACATCAACAACATCCTGATAATAATGAAGATACATCAACAACATCCTGATAATAATGAAGATACATAAACAACATCATGATAATGAAGATACATCGACAACATCATGACAATTAAGATACAATAACAACATCATGATAATGAAGATACTATTAAGAATGTAATAATATGATCACTTTCTTCTTTGCCTGGTGGATGAAACTATCTCTTGCAGCGGCTGAGAGAAACAGACAAAATAATCTAATGTAAAGCAATATGTGTCAAACAAGGCAGACATTCACTCAACTTCCCTAATGCTGATCTATATTCCACTCATTTAAGTTTTACCCGCAAATAAAGCTGTTATTGTTGAATGATGAGTGACAGATGAGTGACAGATGTGTTGCGCTCGACGTAGTCATCGTTTGCTTGTACACGATTTAAGTGGTTGTCGTCTGCTAGTACACCAGTGGTTCTCAGACTTTTTTTACAATCGTGGGCCCTTCCTAACATTTGCCAAGATGTGGGGACTCACTACCATGATTATTACTAGAAGTTGAGAAGTTAAAGAAGAGGGGAAGGAAGGGAGCAGTGATTTAAATGTAATTGACGTATCAATATTGTGTATCACTTAATACGTTTTATGTATACAGTATTTATAACGCATTTTGTTCATAATAGGGTTTGTCAATTAATGGCGGACATCTATTAATAGAACATCCGGGCATTTAGTCTGGCCAATCTCATTAAATGGTAGAAAGATATTAATAAAACATCCTGGTATTCCATTTTCCCAATCTCTCAACTGTCCGGTACGTCTAAGTTAATGTGAGCCAGCACAGTGGGTCTTAGCCTGGACGAAAACGTGTTTACAACTTTATTTTACGAAAGATTTTACAAGTAAACTGTTACTGCTATATATTTATATATATATTATAATGAAATACATTCTTATAAGCCATGCTTTGCGAATAAAAAAGTACAAAAATAATAATATTGCGTTACCCGGTCTTAGAAATGACAAACCCTATTAAAGAATCATTTTCACCGCAAATCACTTAAGTCTTTTTCATTTTTGGTCATCTTTTTTATTATTTAAAAAAATGGAATGTTTATTTTTAAATATGTATAGAAGAACTACAAATAAACAATCAAACGTTACAAAATACTCGTGCAAGCTACCTTGAAAAGTTTAAGCTTTAAAGAAAACATACCCAAATAATGCAAACAAAGTTGTTCATCAAGTACCAACATCTAAGTGCACAATCTAAACTATATCCTGTTGCCTAATCTAAAACAAATCGTAGTGCCCAACCAAAAAAAAATCTCACTGTGCAACCTTAAGACGTCAGAGAAAGATATAATTTCTTCTTTCTCGCTCGATCCGAAATTCTAGAGGCTGTCCGTGAACTTCACAACGCAAACCTTCGTCTTCTTTAACGGCGGTTTTTGAGGAACCTTTTGACAATATGTTTAAAAAAAAAAACCCTTAAAACTATTCCATTAGACCGGAGGTAAATGATTGGAGTAAAGACTTTAGTAGGGATACTAGCACTTCAATGAGATGTTACAACTCCAACTTTATGTTTCAACTCCTAATTACAACTTAAACTCAAAGTCACAGCTCCTCCAACTCCAAGTCACATTTCCAACTCCAAGTCACAACTCTTCCAACTCCAAGTCACAACTGCAACTCCAAGTCACAACTGCAACTCCAAGTCACAACTTCAACTCCAAGTCACAACTCCTCCAAGTCCAAGTCACATCTCCTCCAACTCCAAGTCACAACACCTCCAACTCCAAGTCACAACTTCTCCAACTCCAAGTCACAACTCCTCCAACTCCAAGTCACAACTCCTCGAACTCCAAGTCACACCTCCAACTCCAAGTCACAACTCCAACTCCAACTCACAACTTCTCCAACTCCACGTCACTACTCCTCCAACGCCAAGTCACAACTCCTCCAACTCCAAGTCACAACTTCTCCAACTCCAAGTCACAACTTCTCCAACTCCAAGTCACAACTCCTCCAATTCCAAGTCACAACTCCTCCAACTCCAAGTCACAACTTCTCCAACTCCAAGTCAAAACTCCTCCAATTCCAAGTCAAAACTCCTCCAACTCAAAGTCACAACTCCTCCAACTCCAAGTCACAACTCCTCCAACTCCAAGTCACAATTCCTCTAACTCAAAGTTAGAGCACCAAGTTACAACTCCAACTTTAATTTACAACTCAAACTCCAAGTTGTTACAAATTCCCCTCCAAGCTACAGATCCACCTCCAAGTTACAACTCTAACTTACAACTCCACCTCCAAGCTACAACTCCAACTTACAACTCCACCTCCAAGTTACAACTCCAACTTACAACCCAAACTACAAGTTACGCCACCAAGTTACCACTCAACTCCAAGTTACAACTCAAACTATGTTTCAACTTTATACTACCAAATATCAATGTAAATATTCCGTATATCTTACACAGCGGTGGTTCATCGACTCCTTGATAGATCTGTTTGATCAAGAATCCGAGTATGTCATAGATGTCATCGAGGACTGCCGGGAAGAAATGAGGGAGACAGCGGACCGGTACCGGGACGAAGCAGAACAGCTCCGGGCTGCCTCACGTTTGTTACGTAAGTTATTTTAGACATACGTGCTGACATATCAGGGATTGTGGACTTTTTTTTTTTTTACATTAGGTCCTAGATTTACATAGGTTTTTACATTAGGTCCTAGATTTACATAGGTTTTTACATTAGGTCCTAGATTTACATAGGTTTTTACATTAGGTCCTAGATTTAAATAGGTTTTTACATTAGGTCCTAGATTTACATACGTTTTTACATTAGGTCCTAGATTTACATACGTTTTTACATTAGGTCCTAGATTTACAAACGGGTTTTAAAAATCAGATTAAAGAATACGTTTTTTGTTTTCGGAGAGTATTGCTGAGGTGGTTGGAGAGTATTGTTGAGGTGTTTGGAGAGTATTTGTTGGGGTAGTTGGAGAGTATTATTGAGGTGGTTGGGGAGTATTTTTTGTGGTAGTTGGAGAGTATTTGTTGTGGTGGTTGGAGAGTATTTGTTGAGGTGGTTAGAGAGCATTTGTTGTGGTAGTTGGCGAGTATTGATGAGGTGGTTGGAGAGTACTTGTTGTGGTGGTTGGAGAGTATTTGTTGTGGTAGTTGGAGAGTATTGTTGAAGTGGTTGGAGAGTATTTGTTGTGGTGGTTGAAGAGTATTTGTTGTTGTGGTTGGAGGGTATTTGTTGTGGTGGTTGGAGAGTATTTGTTGTGGTGGTTGGAGAGTATTTGCTGTGGTGGTTGGAGAGTATTGTCGTGGTGGTTGGAGAGTATTTGTTGTGGTGGTTGGAGAGTATTTGTTGTGGTGGTTGGAGAGTATTGTTTAGGTAGTTGGAGAATATTTGTTGTGGTAGTTGGAGAGTATTGTTGAGGTGGTTGGGGAGTATTTATTGTGGTAGTTGGGGAGTATTGTTGAAGTGGTTGGAGAGTATTTGTTGTGGTGGTTGGAGAGTATTTGTTGTGGTGGTTGGAGAGTATTTGTTGTGGTGGTTGGAGAGTATTTGTTGTGGTGGTTGGAGAGTATTTGTTGTGGTGGTTGGAGAGTATTTGTTGTGGTGGTTGGAGAGTATTTGTTGTGGTGGTTGGAGAGTATTTGTTGTGGTGGTTGGAGAGTATTTGTTGTGGTGGTTGGAGAGTATTTGTTGTGGTGGTTGGAGAGTATTTGTTGTGGTGGTTGGAGAGTATTTGTTGTGGTGGTTGGAGAGTATTTGTTGTGGTGGTTGGAGAGTATTTGTTGTGGTGGTTGGAGAGTATTTGTTGTGGTGGTTGGAGAGTATTTGTTGTGGTGGTTGGAGAGTATTTGTTGTGGTGGTTGGAGAGTATTTGTTGTGGTGGTTGGAGAGTATTTGTTGTGGTGGTTGGAGAGTATTTGTTGTGGTGGTTGGAGAGTATTTGTTGTGGTGGTTGGAGAGTATTTGTTGTGGTGGTTGGAGAGTATTTGTTGTGGTGGTTGGAGAGTATTTGTTGTGGTGGTTGGAGAGTATTTGTTGTGGTGGTTGGAGAGTATTTGTTGTGGTGGTTGGAGAGTATTTGTTGTGGTGGTTGGAGAGTATTTGTTGTGGTGGTTGGAGAGTATTTGTTGTGGTGGTTGGAGAGTATTTGTTGTGGTGGTTGGAGAGTATTTTTTGTGGTGGTTGGAGAGTATTGTTTAGGTAGTTGGAGAATATTTGTTGTGGTGGTTGGAGAGTATTGTTGAGGTAGTTGGAGAGTATTTGTTGTGGTAGTTGGCGAGTATTTGTTGTGGTGGTTGGAGAGTATTTGTTGTGGTGGTTGGAGAGTATTTGTTGTGGTGGTTGGAGAGTATTGTTGAGGTGGTTGGAGAGTATTTTTTGTGGTAGTTGGAGAGTATTTGTTGTGGTGGTTGGAGAGTATTTGTTGTGGTGGTTGGAGAGTATTGGTTGTTGTTGTGGTGGTTGGAGAGTATTGTTGAGGTGGTTGGAGAGTATTTGTTGTGGTAGTTGGAGAGTATTTGTTGTGGTGGTTGGAGGGTATGTTTTGTGGAAGTTGGAGAGTTTATAGTGTTGGTTTATTTTTATTAGGTGTGCTAGTTTAAGAGTGGTCACGTGGGCCCTGCAGCCCCTAAGGCTCAAGGCGAACCTCTAATCTTTAAGTTGCCTAAAGCTGTGATGTGGATAAAATTTAAAGTAAAAAAATGTGAATGCAGGAGGGCACACATGGGGTGTGTAGGGGTATCTGTTGTGGTGGTTAGAGAGTATCTATTTTGGTGGTTAGAGGGAATCTTTTGTGGTGTTTGAGGGTATCTGTTGTGGTGGTTAGAAAGTATTGTTGTGGTGGTTACAAAATATTTGTTGTGTTTTCCGAGGGTATTTGTTGTGGTGGTTAGAGGGTATTTGTTGTTGTGGCTAGAAAGTACTTGTTGTGGTGGTTAGAGAGTATTTTTTATTTTGGTTATAGGGGATGAGTTTAATGTGCTACTTAGAAAGTATTTGTTTTTTGTGTGAAGTCGTAGATTATTTGTTGCTCGGATTGTGCAGTAGTTGTTTTCAAATGTACAGCTGTTATGGCACAGTTGATACGTTTCATAGATACGGATATTGTGGTAGTACTGTCACAAACAAAACGTTTTAGGAATATAAAGAGGTAAGTCCCAAAATACACTGAGTAGTAAGCTAGCATACGCTGAGTAGTATATCAACATACACTGATTAGTATATCAACATACGCTGAGAAGAATATCAACATACAGTGAGTAGTATGCCAACATACACTGAGTAGTAAGCCAACATACACCGAGTAGAATGCTAACATACACATATGAGTATGCCAACATAAACAGTATAGTTCCAGCAAACACTGAGTAGTATGCCAACATACACTTAGTAGTATGCCAACATGCACTGAGTGTTATGGGGTTCTGTACCAAATTGGCATTTGATTTATAAATTGTACATTAAGAAAGTGAACTGACACCTTTCACACATCCTTGTGCATATTAAATATACAATTAACGTTTACATTTACTTAATGTTAAAAACCACACGACCTTTGTTCATTCTTGTTCTACTACCAGAACATGAGCAATGTTTGGAAGAAAATCTTACTGTATCATCAAAACATGAGCAATTTTGGAAGAAAATCTTACTGCACCATCAGAACATGAGCATGTTTGAAAGAAAATCTTACTGCATCATCAGAACATGAGCATGTTTGAAAGAAAATCTTACTGCATCATTAGAACATGAGCAATATTTGGAAGACAATCTTACTGCATCATCAGAACATGAGCATGTTTGAAAGAAAATCTTACTGCATAATCAGAACATGAGCAATATTTGGAAGACAATCTTACTGCATCATCAGAACATGAGCATGTTTGAAAGAAAATCTTAGTGCATCATCAGAACATGAGCATGTTTGAAAGAAAATCTTACTGCACCATCAGAACATGAGCATATTTGAAAGAAAATCTTACTGCATCATCAGAGCATGAGCATGTTTGAAAGAAAATCTTACTGCATCATCAGAACATGAGCATGTTTGAAAGAAAATCTTACTGCACCATCAGAACATGAGCATATTTGAAAGAAAATCTTACTGCATCATCAGAACATGAGCATGTTTGAAAGAAAATCTTACTGCACCATCAGAACATGAGCATATTTGAAAGAAAATCTTACTGCATCATCAGAACATAAGCATGTTTGAAAGAAAATCTTACAGCATCATCAGAACATGAGCATGTTTGAAAGAAAATCTTACTGCACAATCAGAACATGAGCATGTTTGGAAGAAAATCTTACTGCATCATCAGAACATGAGCATGTTTGAAAGAAAATCTTACTGCACAATCAGAACATGAGCATGTTTGAAAGAAAATCTTACTGCACAATCAGAACATGAGCATGTTTGGAAGAAAATCTTACTGCATCATCAGAACATGAGCATGTTTGAAAGAAAATCTTACTGCATCATCAGAACATGAGCATGTTTGAAAGAAAATCTTACTGCATCATCAGAACATGAGCATGTTTGAAAGAAAATCTTACTGCATCATAAAAACATGAGCATATTTGAAAGAAAATCTTACTGCATCATCAAAACATGAGCATATTTGAAAGAAAATCTTACTGCATCATCAGAGCATGAGCATGTTTGAAAGAAAATCTTACTGCATCATCAGAACATGAGCATGTTTGAAAGAAAATCTTACTGCGCCATCAGAACATGAGCATGTTTGGAAGAAAATCTTACTGCATCATCAGAACATGAGCATGTTTGAAAGAAAATCTTACTGCACCATCAGAACATGAGCATGTTTGGAAGAAAATCTTACTGCATCATCAGAACATGAGCATGTTTGAAAGAAAATCTTACTGCATCATCAAAACATGAGCATGTTTGAAAGAAAATCTTACTGCATCATCAAAACATGAGCATGTTTGAAAGAAAATCTTACTGCATCATCAGAACATGAGCATGTTTGAAAGAAAATCTTACAGCATCATCAGAACATGAGCATGTTTGAAAGAAAATCTTACTGCATCATCAAAACATGAGCATATTTGAAAGAAAATCTTACTGCATCATCAGAACATGAGCATATTTGAAAGAAAATCTTACTGCGCCATCAGAACATGAGCATGTTTGAAAGAAAATCTTACTGCACCATCAGAACATGAGCATGTTTGAAAGAAAATCTTACAGCATCATCAGAACATGAGCATGTTTGAAAGAAAATCTTACTGCATCATCAAAACATGAGCATGTTTGAAAGAAAATCTTACTGCATCATCAGAACATGAGCATGTTTGAAAGAAAATCTTACTGCATCATCAGAACATGAGCATGTTTGAAAGAAAATCTTACTGCATCATCAAAACATGAGCATATTTGAAAGAAAATCTTACTGCATCATCAGAACATGAGCATGTTTGAAAGAAAATCTTACTGCGCCATCAGAACATGAGCATGTTTGGAAGAAAATCTTACTGCATCATCAGAACATGAGCATGTTTGAAAGAAAATCTTACTGCACCATCAGAACATGAGCATGTTTGGAAGAAAATCTTACTGCATCATCAGAACATGAGCATATTTGAAAGAAAATCTTACTGCATCATCAGAACATGAGCATGTTTGAAAGAAAATCTTACTGCACCATCAGAACATGAGCATGTTTGGAAGAAAATCTTACTGCATCATCAGAAAATGAGCATGTTTGAAAGAAAATCTTACTGCACCATCAGAATATGAGCATGTTTGGAAGAAAATCTTACTGCATCATCAGAACATGAGCCTGTTTGAAAGAAAATCTTACAGCATCATCAGAACATGAGCATATTTGAAAGAAAATCTTACAGCATCATCAGAGCATGAGCATGTTTGAAAGAAAATCTTACTGCATCATCAAAAGATGAGCATATTTGAAAGAAAATCTTACTGCATCATCAGAACATGAGCATGTTTGAAAGAAAATCTTACTGCATCATCAAAACATGAGCATATTTGAAAGAAAATCTTACTGCACCATCAAAACATGAGCATGTTTGAAAGAAAATCATACTGCATCATCAGAACATGAGCATGTTTGAAAGAAAATCTTACTGCATCATCAAAACATGAGCATATTTGAAAGAAAATCTTACTGCATCATCAGAGCATGAGCATGTTTGAAAGAAAATCTTACTGCATCATCAAAACATGAGCATGTTTGAAAGAAAATCTTACTGCATCATCAAAACATGAGCATGTTTGAAAGAAAATCTTACTGCATCATCAGAACATGAGCATGTTTGAAAGAAAATCTTACTGCATCATCAAAACATGAGCATGTTTGAAAGAAAATCTTACTGCATCATCAAAACATGAGCATATTTGAAAGAAAATCTTACTGCATCATCAAAACATGAGCATATTTGAAAGAAAATCTTACTGCATCATATCATCAAAACATGAGCATGTTTGAAAGAAAATCTTACTGCATCATCAAAACATGAGCATATTTGAAAGAAAATCTTACTGCATCATCAAAACATGAGCATATTTGAAAGAAAATCTTACTGCATCATAAGAGCATGAGCATATTTGAAAGAAAATCTTACTGTATCATCAGAGCATGAGCATATTTGAAAGAAAATCTTACTGCATCATCAGAACATGAGCATGTTTGAAAGAAAATCTTACTGCACCATCAGAACATGAGCATGTTTGGAAGAAAATCTTACTGCATCATCAGAACATGAGCATGTTTGAAAGAAAATCTTACTGCACCATCAGAATATGAGCATGTTTGGAAGAAAATCTTACTGCATCATCAGAACATGAGCGTGTTTGAAAGAAAATCTTACAGCATCATCAGAACATGAGCATATTTGAAAGAAAATCTTACAGCATCATCAGAGCATGAGCATGTTTGAAAGAAAATCTTACTGCATCATCAAAAGATGAGCATATTTGAAAGAAAATCTTACTGCATCATCAGAACATGAGCATGTTTGAAAGAAAATCTTACTGCATCATCAAAACATGAGCATATTTGAAAGAAAATCTTACTGCACCATCAAAACATGAGCATGTTTGAAAGAAAATCATACTGCATCATCAGAACATGAGCATGTTTGAAAGAAAATCTTACTGCATCATCAAAACATGAGCATATTTGAAAGAAAATCTTACTGCATCATCAGAGCATGAGCATGTTTGAAAGAAAATCTTACTGCATCATCAAAACATGAGCATGTTTGAAAGAAAATCTTACTGCATCATCAAAACATGAGCATGTTTGAAAGAAAATCTTACTGCATCATCAGAACATGAGCATGTTTGAAAGAAAATCTTACTGCATCATCAAAACATGAGCATGTTTGAAAGAAAATCTTACTGCATCATCAAAACATGAGCATATTTGAAAGAAAATCTTACTGCATCATCAAAACATGAGCATAAAACTTTCTTTTAGAATGAGCATCATCAGAACATGAGCATATTTGAAAGAAAATCTTACAGCATCATCAGAGCATGAGCATGTTTGAAAGAAAATCTTACTGCATCATCAAAAGATGAGCATATTTGAAAGAAAATCTTACTGCATCATCAGAACATGAGCATGTTTGAAAGAAAATCTTACTGCATCATCAAAACATGAGCATATTTGAAAGAAAATCTTACTGCACCATCAAAACATGAGCATGTTTGAAAGAAAATCATACTGCATCATCAGAACATGAGCATGTTTGAAAGAAAATCTTACTGCATCATCAAAACATGAGCATATTTGAAAGAAAATCTTACTGCATCATCAGAGCATGAGCATGTTTGAAAGAAAATCTTACTGCATCATCAAAACATGAGCATGTTTGAAAGAAAATCTTACTGCATCATCAAAACATGAGCATGTTTGAAAGAAAATCTTACTGCATCATCAGAACATGAGCATGTTTGAAAGAAAATCTTACTGCATCATCAAAACATGAGCATGTTTGAAAGAAAATCTTACTGCATCATCAAAACATGAGCATATTTGAAAGAAAATCTTACTGCATCATCAAAACATGAGCATATTTGAAAGAAAATCTTACTGCATCATCAAAACATGAGCATATTTGAAAGAAAATCTTACTGTATCATCAGAGCATGAGCATATTTGAAAGAAAATCTTACTGCATCATCAAAACATGAGCATATTTGAAAGAAAATCTTACTGCATCATCAGAGCATGAGCATATTTGAAAGAAAATCTTACTGCATCATCAAAACATGAGCATGTTTGAAAGAAAATCTTACTGCATCATCAGAACATGAGCATGTTTGAAAGAAAATCTTACTGCACCATCAAAACATGAGCATGTTTGAAAGAAAATCTTACTGCATCATCAGAACATGAGCATGTTTGAAAGAAAATCTTACTGCACCATCAAAACATGAGCATGTTTGAAAGAAAATCTTACTGCATCATCAAAACATGAGCATGTTTGAAAGAAAATCTTACTGCACTTTCAGAACATGAGCATGTTTGAAAGAAAATCTTACTGCACCATCAAAACATGAGCATGTTTGAAAGAAAATCTTACTGCATCATCAAAACATGAGCATATTTGAAAGAAAATCTTACTGCATCATCAGAACATGAGCATGTTTGAAAGAAAATCTTACTGCATCATCAGAACATGAGCATGTTTGAAAGAAAATCTTACTGCATCATCAGAACATGAGCATGAAACTTTCTTTTAGAATGACGTAGTAGTCTTGTACTCGTACAAACAAAGAAAATCTTACTGCATCATCAGAACATGAGCATGTTTGAAAGAAAATCTTACTGCATCATCAGAACATGAGCATGTTTGAAAGAAAATCTTACTGCACCATCAGAACATGAGCAATATTTGGAAGACAATCTTACTGCATCATCAGAACATGAGCATGTTTGAAAAAAAATCTTACTGCATCATCAGAACATGAGCATGTTTGAAAGAAAATCTTACTGCATCATCAGAACATGAGCATGTTTGAAATAAAATCTTACTGCACCATCAGAACATGAGCATATTTGAAAGAAAATCTTACTGCATCATCAAAACATGAGCATATTTGAAAGAAAATCTTACTGCATCATCAAAACATGAGCATATTTGAAAGAAAATCTTACTGCATCATCAAAACATGAGCATATTTGAAAGAAAATCTTACTGCACCATCAGAACATGAGCATATTTGAAAGAAAATCTTACTGCACCATCAGAACATAAGCATGTTTGAAAGAAAATCTTACAGCATCATCAGAACATGATCAATATTTGGGTAGAAATTCTTACGACACTATCAGAATCGGTCCCACGCTTTGTTTATTCATAGAGAATGTACGAATGTGTTACTCGTGCATATAAATAGCGAAATCGTCAGCTAGATCTTCTGTGACTCGCGTATAGAAATGAAGAAATCGGCTGGCAGATCTTCTGTCACATGAACAAATATCAATAGACCTGGCTCCCATATCGATCAATGGTCGATAGCAATCAAACCGAAGATCAATACTAATCAAGGATGTTCGAATATTTCAACAATAACACGTATTGATTTTCTCAGCATTATGATTCAGTGTCATGCGTACAAGGGTGACAACACAAGCAGATATTAAGATCGATATGGAATCGAATGCGATCGTAAAATAAATTCGATCCACCGCCTGTGACGGTTGAACCCTGGCAACAATGGGAAATAAATATTGATTGGATTTTATGATAAGGGACATCACCAATAAATCGGGTGGCATTATGTGGAGAAGTATTCTGCCACTGTTCTCCAGGGGAAACAGAACATATTTAATTAAGAAAATAATGCATCACTCTCCAACACAACCCCCCCTCCCCAAAAAAAAAAAAAAAAAAAAAAAAAAAAAAAAAAAAACCTTTTTATTTATAAAAAAAAAAAAAANTATCATCGGTAGATGTTAGCAAGGTATCATCGGTAGATGTTAGCAAGGTATCATCGGTAGATGTTAGCAAGGTATCATCGGTAGATGTTAGCAAGGTATCATCGGTAGATGTTAGCAAGGTATCATCGGTAGATGTTAGCAAGGTATCATCGGTAGATGTTAGCAAGGTATCATCGGTAGATGTTAGCAAGGTATCATCGGTAGATGTTAGCAAGGTATCATCGGTAGATGTTAGCAAGGTATCATCGGTAGATGTTAGCAAGGTATCATCGGTAGATGTTAGCAAGGTATCATCGGTAGATGTTAGCAAGGTATCATCGGTAGATGTTAGCAAGGTATCATCGGTAGATGTTAGCAAGGTATCATCGGTAGATGTTAGCAAGGTATCATCGGTAGATGTTAGCAAGGTATCATCGGTAGATGTTAGCAAGGTATCATCGGTAGATGTTAGCAAGGTATCATCGGTAGATGTTAGCAAGGTATCATCGGTAGATGTTAGCAAGGTATCATCGGTAGATGTTAGCAAGGTATCATCGGTAGATGTTAGCAAGGTATCATCGGTAGATGTTAGCAAGGTATCATCGGTAGCTTAACTCACAACAGAACACGGAGCACCGGGTACAATAAATTGAGGGCTTGGGTTCAAACTTCAGGAACCTAGGACTTTGGCTCAACTAAAAGAAGGAAGACTGTTTGCAAACAGCCCCCCCCCCCCAACCAGCACACACACACACCCTTTCCGGAAGTGGATATCCCCTGCACGTGGAACATAAATCTATGGGTGAACCGGGTTAGAGGCTAGCGTGATAACGATGAAGTCTGGCACCTCAACCTGACTCCTCATTTATTGTGTTGGCGCCTCAGCTTCACTCATTTATTGTTTTGGCGCCTCAGTCTGAATCCTTTATAGTGTTTATACCTCACACTGACTCCTCATTTATTGTATTGGTGCCTCAGAGGTGTTGGCACCTCAGCTTTAACTCATTTATTGTGTTGGCACCTCATTCTGCCTCCGTCTATCTTGTGTTCATTTAGTTGGGTGAAATGTGGCAAGGGGTGGGGGTATGACACTACAGGTCGCCTGGAGCCCATATGACATAATTAGTACAATACAGTTAAGTGGTTTCAAAGGGAAAATCTGGATTCTTGGAAACTGTAACGTGAACAAGCGCCAACCTTTGACCCCGAAAATTACCGTGGCCAACCGATCGAACTGGTCTGCTTTAATCCAAGCCTATGACGCACAAAGTCACATGTCAGCCGGAGACTTATTTTCCACTTTGGAATTGTCTGCCCCTTGATGGGATACTAACTAAACAAGACGGCGGCAAATGTTGATAAGATACAGACACAGTAGCGGCAGTATTACCATTTACTCATTGGGGCGAACGGTAATATATGAGTAATAGTTGATGCTCCAATATCTATGAGTCAACTGTTTATAGCTGGCAATATTTGAGTAATAGTTGATGCTCCAATATATATAAGCCAACTGTTTATAGCTGGCACTATTTGAGTAATAGTTGATGCTCCAATATCTATGAGTCAACTGTTTATAGCTGGCAACATTTGAGTAATGGTTGATGCTCCAATATATATAAGTCAACTTTTTATAGCTGGCAATATTTGAGTAATAGTTGATGCTCCAATATATATGAGTCAACTGTTTATAGCTGGCAATAAATGAGTAATAGTTGATGTCCCATCATTAAGTCAAACATTGGTAGCTGGCAATATTTCAGTAATAGTTGATGTCACAAACCTCCAAGCCAAATATATGTTGTTGAAAATGTTTGAGTATTACAAGAAGTTCTCAACATCTCCAAGCCAGAATTTATTTAGATTCCGGTCACACCAGAGAGATGATATGGTTTCACACGGCTTAGTTTCTCGGAATATTATAATCGGTTCAAATTTGTTATTCCGAATGTGTAACAATTCAAGATTATTCTGTATCAGGACTTGACGGCGTGGGCTATAAAGGAGGGGGGTTGCAAGGATGAGGCCTCCGCCCTCCGGCCAATGTGCGAAAAGGCTTGTGAATACCAATGACAGCGTCATCTGGTTTTTGTCGATCAAGGAAAAAGCTTTCGACAAGGTGAACAGGAATGTGCTCTGGAAGGTAGTGGACGCATGCAAAGTCGAAGGACAGCGCCTCGAAGATATTACCAGGACGTTCTTTGCAAGCCGTTGGAGTGCTGTGGTCAGATGTTCGATGTCAAATCGGGGGTCACACAGATTTTCGTTCTATCGCCGTTGCTGTTCGTCGGTGACATCGACAAATTTACAAAGGATGTCAATCTGTTGTTGTTGTTCGTCCATCGAAGTCGACTAGGACCATCGAGTTATCCGGTTAGGGGGAGGGTGGGTTACGGTGAGCTCGTAGGTGGCTTGCTAGACCGATCCTTGCTCGGAATTATCTCTGGCACCATGGGCAGGGGATAGTTGCTGCAGTCGGTGACCTAATGTTGCTCTTTCGGGCAAGCCTGCGTGTCTCAGCTGTAGTTATCCTATTAGCTTCATGGGATTTAGCCCTCTTCTTGACAGCTGCTCTCCACCTGGCTCTGTCCTGGGCTGTCTGCACCCATTGAGTAGGGTTTATGCTGAAGGCCTTTAGTGCCACTTTCAGTGAGTCTCTTTGTAACGCTTTTTTTGACCGCCTTGTGAGCGCTTGCCTGTCGTGAGTTCTCCGAAGAATATCTGTTTCTGGAGCCGGTGGTCTTCCATATGGGCTACGTGTCCCATCCAACGGAGTTGAGACTGCATCAGGGTGTTGAAGATACTACGTTCGCTCTAGCGATGACTTCTGTGTCAGGGTGTTTGTCTTGCAACCTGATGCCGAGGAGTACCTGAGGCAGGTTGTGTGAAAATGATTCAGTTTCTTGGCGTGACGCTGGTAGACTGTCCACGTTTCACATCCATAGAGCAATGTCGGGAGGACTGCTGCGCTATAGACCTTGATCTTCGTTTCTCGTCTGATACCTCTCCTGTCCCAAACAGTGCTGCGGAGCCTGCCAAATAGGGCACTAGCTTTTGCGAGTCTGTCATTCATTTCATCATCCATGACGACAGATCTGAAGAGGATGATTCCCAAGTGAGTAAATTTATCCACCGGGTTGAGACACTGTCCGCGGATGATGATGTTGGGTTCATCGTAGGGCTTACTGGGAGCTGGCTGATACATCACCTCAGTCTTCTTTGTGTTGATTGTGAGGCCAAAGTCAATTTACATCCTTAGGCACTGCTATGTACTGCGTTATACACAATCTGCCATCTTAAATTACACTGCTATGTACTGCCATCTTAACTTATGCTACTTTGTACTGCCTTATACACAATCTGCCAATCTTAACTTATACTGCTATATGTTGCCTTAAACACAATCTTCCATCGTTTTCCTTTTTAAATTCAGTTGATCCTTCAAGCTAGAAAACTCGGTAATTGATAGCCTATATATTTTTTTCTTTCCTTGTTATAGAAGAAAAACGTGAATCTCCGGACCAGTCCCCCAAACGATCCGTGTCCCGAGTGTCAGCACCTGGTCGGCTGCTCTACGTCAAAGAACGGCAGGGCACGCCGGAATCAGTCCTTGCGACAAGGTTACGCTCTCGGCGGAGACGCATCATAAGTTCCGACGAGGATGGCTGCAGGTCACCGACAGAGACAAATCTCAGCAGCAGGTACGGCCCCTCAGTCCGCACACGACATGTGTGCAAGTGACATCCTGAGACAGTAAAACTGTAGGCCTACATTTCATCACCGATTTAAAAATGTTAAGCCATATAAGTTATAAACCTTATAAAAAAATTTGGCTAAAGAATGACTCTTAATGGGACTTATTTTTATTCAATTAATACCTCTGAAAATGTTATCCCGCCCATTTTTTTTACACAATACATCTAGTATTTTATAAGTGTTGTAAGACTCAGAGTTGCTTGTGCATGTGTTAAAATTGACAGATGTTGTTGAATCATTCTATCCATGACATTCTATGCAGTTAAACAAATCTATTTTTTTCAATGTAGGTGTGCCTCATCCTTGAGTGTACCCTCCCTTCCCTTATTAGGCAATGGGCGTGTCATCCCCCCAAGTGCAAGAACAACTCGCAGCTTGCCTGTCACGCCCACCATCCCCAAGTTAGAGTTGGATGAAGAGGAACGAACTAAGAAAATGCATGAGGTTAGAATACAGATTCCAAATAGAACTAGCATGAGGCTAGAAAACAGATTCCAAAAAGAACTAGGATGAGGATTAGAATATAGATTCCAAATAGAACTAGGATGAGGACTGGTATATACCAGTTGATTCCAGATAGAACTAGCATGAGGTTAGAATATATCAGTTGATTCCAAACAGAACTAGCAAGAAGTTAGAATACAGATTCAAAATAGAACTAGCATGAGGTTAGAATATAGATTCCAAACAGAACCACCATGAGGTTAGAATATTATAGATTCCAAATAGAACTTGCATGAGGTTAGAGTATAGATTTTAAATAGAACTTAAGCAGTGGAGAAGTTAGAGGAACATGTTTGTAACAGACCTAATTGTCATTTGTCCACAAAATAGTGTCTCTTAGAGGAGGCATAAAGTATGTATTATTATTTCTTGTATTTTTAACTTAGTTTTATTGTTACAAGGAAGCTGAGAGTTACGTATTCTTGATACTCTCATGTCTAATCCAGCGCTAGCTCATGTAACAGAACAATGAAAGGAAAGATAGCATAATTTTAGAAGGGGCTATTCTGACGTCTGCCGTGAATAGATTTTCGTTAATTAATAATATCAATTCAAACTGTTAATAAATAAGTATTTGCAAATTTCCTTTATAATCTTCTGTTGGTAATTTCTACATCAGGAAACACGGGCCATCCTACAAAACATGAACGCAAAGGAGAGTCAGGCAGAGTTGGAACGTGAGAGACAGCAGGAGAGGTTAGAGAGGATCAGACGACAGAAGAGATTCCTTGCAGAAGACAGGACTCAGCAAGCTCTTCAGCTTTTGGAGAAAGCCTTAGAAATGGATCGTGTGTAAGTATGAATCTCTCTGGCTCAGGTTAAATAAACCTCTTACTTATATTTAATATGTTTACTAGAAGAAGTACTAATTAATAGTACAACAATGAAGATTATTTATTTTACCCAGATGCTCCACTAAAGAAGTCCATTGTTTTTTGTACCTTTGTAAAGATCAATAAATTACAGAGTCTGAAAAAGATTCTTTGTTTAAGGCTTAAGATCAATATACTATGTATTACTGATGTTAATTTATTATCTAAGTTAATGTAATAATGTTGTTGTCAAATTAGTCTTATTCTCTCTATTGCATGTACAGCAGTGGTTCTAAACCTGGGTTCGATCGAACCCCAAGGGTTCGGTGAGTCAGTCTTAGGGGTTCGGCGGAGGTCCAAAAAAATTAGGGAAAAAAAAATCATATTTTATTTTTCCTATTAAGAAGGGTTGGGTGAATGCGCATAAGAAACTTTCGGTACCTCCAAAAAGGTTAAGAACCACTGATATACAGCCTTACATGATTTGATTTTTAGTAGCTTTTGCAGTCAATATATCAACAATTTTGCCCCTCTGTTTTGTAGACTTGTCCAAGATAAAGAAAGACAAGGTTTACAGCTCAGGAACAAGTTGGACGAGATGAAGAAAAGAAGAGGTCAGCAACAGAGTGTGGAATATGTGGAGATTATAGAGCTACAGGACAAAAAGTAGTGAGAATAGACTAAGTGTTTTAGCTACACAAAAACATATTACAGCGGAGGGATTTCTTTCTGGATTTGGTTATCTTTTAAATATAAGGCTAATAAAACTACATTTAATTATCTCCATTTACAAAATCTTCTTTTGGGTTTGAACGCCCAGTGCATGCCATTGGTGCAAGCAACAATTATAACTATAACAAATAATCCAAATACTATGTCCGAGTCTGGACTATTAATTTTTAAACTGGACCTTGTAAACTGAAGATGAATCTAATTAGAATTATTTAAAATTTGAAAAAAAAATATGTAAAAGTTGGAAGTAAATTCAGTTATAGACTTGGAAGGCATTTTTTCCCTTCAAAATATACCTTTTATAATTATTATGACATTTCTGATTGTATTTAAGCTATTGTATTCATCCTGGTCACTTTGGTGCCTCACTAGAAAATTAAGAAAAGAAATGTTTTACCTTGTGAGCATCTCCTTTCATCTATGTCAAAATAAGAATGTTTTAACAAGGAGGGCAAGACTTTTATATTTTTAACATAATTATAATTTTAGGTAAAATAACAATAATAATTAACGTATTAAATTATGTGGACAAGTTGAGTCCATAGAATATCATAACAGATAAAATTCTGACATAGAAGTATGCATCCGAAAAATGGCATATTTCAGAACAGGTAAATTTATTTTTATTAAGGATTGGGCTGTCCGCAAAATTTAAAATTTAATTGCTAAATAAGGTGCAGTTGTTAAAGAAGGTGCAGTTGTTTAATAAGTTGAAGCTTAAAGGGAACCCACTATTTTTGTCAGGTATAATAATAAATTGGGTTTAAAATCACTGATTATCCAGTGCAAAGCGGCAGATTTCCCAGTATCAAAATAAATAATAAATGCTTACTTTGCTAAGAAACCAATTCTATTATGTTCCTCAAAAGATGAGCTGTGTTTACAGTGGACACCAAAACTGAATGTAAATTGCTGAGTCCCAGTGGCCATGCATTGAGATCTGTTTGTAATCTTCTCTAGTAGCCCTGGCTTTTTATTGTTGTACAGAAGAACTTCACATTTTCATTAACTATGCGTCAAACTTTTTAGGATACTTGTCGTAAAATGATGTTAGAATATTCTAAATGTACATATTTCTACAAACGTCATGTTTTTATTGACGTGGGTATCTTATGATGTATTTCAATTTATGACTTTTTTTATGTTTAAAGGCAATCTTTTATGAGCCTTTTTCAAAATTACTACGTAAAAACGATACTATGATTGAAAAGCTCATTTGTTTCAACTTACTCATTGCTGACACATCTAACCCATTTAGAATATTTCTGAACAGTTTCATCTGTATTAAACATTTATAAATTTGAACTATATAATTTTATACAGTTAAACTTTATAAGTTTATTAATTCAAGAACGTTTTAAATATGAGTTATGACATAGTTTTTATTGATTAAAAACAGGGACAAAATACAACAAAATTATGCTGGTCCAGGTTTATTCAGGATTAAAAATACAGTAAAAGTATTCTTGTCTGGTTGACACTTTATCCAAGTTTAAAATATTTATACCATTTTCTAACTTTAAAGAATTAAAACACATTGTTTCAATATTCAATATCCATTGAGATTAATTTTTATTTGAAAAAAAAAAAAAAGCTTTAGACTTTAAAGTTTTTCTAAAGGTTTGAAAATTTGTACATAAACAATTTGTAATTGAAGTTAACAGCAAACAATTTTTAGCTGAAGCTAAACTCAAACAATTTGTAACTGAAGTTGACAGCAAGCTATTTAAAAAATAAAAAAAAACACTTTCTATTTCCTTTTGTCTTGCTATTTTAAGTGCAACAATTTTTTAATGTAATGTCTTTCTGCCTTTGAAAGAAAAATTTTGCTTTGCTTTACGACTGTAGGGCTGATCTTAATCTGGTGCATAGGCATGAGTATGACTGATAAATATTGGTGGTGAATTTCATGAAGAACATTGTAATGAAAAATTATACATATTTGGAAACCAAATTATTCTTTCAAATAAATGAATCTCTAGCTGTGGCTGCTTTAAAAATGTTTACATGTAAATTGTTATTGAACTAACAGCTTTTCATGTTGATGATATGTATTTATGGGTAAAACTATTTGCCATTTTTAAGAAGGTCCTTATAGGAACGAATTTTAAAATATTTGACTTTTTCTAAGTATGATTCTCTTGAATGAAAAGTCTTTTCATTAAATTAATCATATTATGTCCTCATATTATTGTCACAACAAAATATTTTTACACACACTTTCATGAAAGAATAATTGTATTTTGTTCAAAATTCTGTCCCTTTTAGTTAATATTATTATTAAAAAGTTCAATCAGTTTTATCTTAAAAATGTTTTTCTAAATTAACAAATCATTTTCTTTAATTTTGTTGGAAAAAAATTGGGGGAAGGGGCCTGAGGATAATTTTTATTAATTATGATATTTATAGTTTGTCATCTCTAATGAAAACAAATTATTGTTATCATTTTATCAGATTTTATAGTTGTTTAAATTTAGTTCTAATTTATAGTTTTCACATGTACTACCACACAAAAACACAATATTTTATTTTTTTAACAAATTAATCTACAAATAATAAATCCTATCCCTTTTAATTTAAAATTTTTTCTTCCTATTTGATAGAAAAATGCAACGGTTAGTGGATTATAAATGAGCTACTATTTGAATTTGCAGGAAGAAGTTTTTTTCCATTTCATACATATTGATCATTAACTCTTTGTCCTCTTACTTGTAAATAATTTATTATGCTTTTACCTTCTACTAATAATAAATAAAACACCAATGATGAATGATATGTTTTAAAGATGTTAGGTAACAAACAAGTTTTTTGGCAGTGAGCCTTCACCCAAGGGATTAGACTCCCCACATTTTCCAATAGCCAATCAATACAAGGGAAGTGCCCAGTTTATTAATGCATCATTTCGTATGTATTGCTGACATAATAAAAAACACATTTACATTATTATCATTGCCTTTTGTTGTTTATAAACTGAAATTAAACCGTATTCGTAAAACATCGTTATTTGGTATTCAGAAAAATTGCTTTAAAATAAAAATTGTCAATGATGATTTCTGATGACATTCAATCTATATTATATTACATATGCAAAAAAAGTGAAATTATTAAAAGTTAAACACTGTTATTGTAGACATCGCAAAATATATATATTTTACATAAAGTAAGTTTTATCCTATAAAAGGCAGATGCATTGCTTAAATATGGATGGATCCTAATGGGAACAAACCATTCAAGTGTATCACACTCTCAGAAAAAAAGTGTTTTAAGATCTTAATATTTATTAGTAACCAACAAAGCAATGTTTAGGACTTGTATGCTGGCAAGCTTGAATTTCAAAATCAATCAGGATGTGAAAAATGTGGTCGCAAGCCTTGAAGGGGGGAGCACTAATTGGGAGTCTTATAAAGTGTGTTACTTTATGCATGTTTTGTCAAATTTTTAGCCCAAACCCCATTGCTCAGTATTACATTTTATAAAGGATTTATACAAAAAAACTTGTTTTAGGGGTTGTTTAAATTACTATAAATTAATATAAAAGTAACTACTTTATAAGGTAAATCATAAACTTTTACCAAGTAGTTATATAACAATTTTGATGAATTTTATATCACAGGTTACTCGGTTACTTTCAATGCAATGCTTCATATATAGTTTTCTAACACGACAAGATAAATTTTAGGAATGTCAAATTAAGGTTACATTAAAAGTACATATATTTTGATTAAGTTTTTAAAAAAAGGTATGGAAAAGCATTATGCAACATAATAAAATTACATTTTATATGAGTTGAGAAATATTTTATCAGCTGAAAAATAATATTAAAAATTTAAGAACATAAAATTGTCTTTATAGATGAATACTACATGGGTAAAAGTCAGACGCACGAATTTAAGAGCAAAGTCATTTTTATACTTGATCAAGCTTTATATTGATACATTTCTGAAATCAATGTCTGTCTTTTTAGATTTGGAAATGTACTGATTCTCATAACCTATTGATTAACAACAAAATTATTCCACAAAGGGAACAACTTTCAGGGGAAATAAGAAAATGTAATTATGAATATATTAGTTTTAATGACAAACAAATAAAAATAAACGACTCAAAGAAAGGTATTTAAATAATAACATTAGTTTGTAATTAATAATACTGAAATAAATACAATTTAATTTACAATAATTTAAATTGTTAAAGGTCACAAGAAAATGAATTGGCAAAACAGTGCAGAACAAATATTGTTATGTAATTATATAATTTTTAATTGAGCTTTTTATCAGTGAAAATCAAAAGGTAAAAGCTATATTTCATTACTATGATTAGTTTACAAACCAGCACAGAAAATAAAATTTGTTCTAATTTAAATATATGTTTAGATATTCAGTCTTAATTCATTTATATTTCACGTCTTTATAACAATATCCTTTGAAAACAATTTTTTTAAAGTTACCACCTCAGCATCTTGTAATTTATTTTTTCCCTTAACTATCAAGACCTTAATATCTTGAAGAACAGTTAATGTTCTAAGCCCATCGATAGTAACCTTATCACAATCAGAAATGTCTAAAATATGAAGCTTCAAAAGTCCTGTGGTAATCGTTGCTAGACTAGAGTCATCAATGCCTGGACAGTTGGCAACATACAATTCTTTTAATCTTTTCAAGTGCCGAGATAAATGGTGGATGGCCAGATTGTCTAAACACGTGCCCCCGACATCAAGAGATTCAAGTGCAGCTAAATTTTTGGCAATCACTTCAATTTCTGAGCCCTGAATTCTATAACAGCCTTTCAAGGAGAGAGACTTCAAGTTGGACCACTGGGCAATATCCTCAAGATCATAGTTGTCAAGCCTCACTGTTGAGCTAAGATCCAAATGCTCAAGTTTGGGGAGATGTGAATGTTTGCCTTTGAACCATCTTGGCTGCCATGTGGAATAGGTGATGCTAAGGGAAGTGATGGAGGGAGGGAGACTTTCAAATGATAGATTGTCTGTGTTGCAATCATGGAGGTGAAGGTGCCAAAGATTAGGACACCTTGTAGAAAGTTCCTTCAACATTGCATCAGATATTGATGCTTTTTTCCACTTGCTACTCCCTGAAAAATTATCATAATAATAATCTCATTAGAAATATTGGTTATTGAGGCAGACAGAATTTCAACACAGCAGGTAACACAAGTGTCTTTCTATAAAATTGTTTTGAAAATGTCTCATCAAAAACATATATCTATACCTTTAAGAATAAAATAGTAAAAAAAACAAAATAGTTCAAGAAGACTATTATTCAATCGCAGTATTAATAATTAATTACAATGACAAATGAGGAGGAAATAAAAATCCCTAACTTTTCTTTTTTAAGTGATACAGCTTAGTGAAAGCAGGTTAATATTGGCATTTTTGGAAAGCTAAAAGCCAGCTCTGTCCAATGGCATGCTATTTGTGTATGTCAGATGCATTTGAAAATTTCAACTAGACTACCTACCGCATCCCAACACATAGTGGGGCAATCAGGGACAATTTCCCCCTGAATGTTACAAGTCAAACACATTGTCAATAAAAATATCTTTTCTTCATCAGAACTATTCCTTTCTTTTAAATTACTCTTAATCTGTTGAGTCTATTAAAATGTTTTTAAAATCTTTGATACGGCTAACTTGACAAAAACTACTTGCAAATATAAATCTAGAATAAATTAGGGAAATTAAAAATTTAATTTGTGACCCTGAGGTACAAATAAATAATATCCGGAAATTAGTTCAGAACAAATGTATATAAAGGAATGTTGTTTGAAGGGCAGTTTGTTCAATCAGAAGTTGATTCAAACGGAAATAATGGGGGGGTAAAAAATAAAGTTCATTTAAATGTTAAAATTTGCCCCATTTCTCACTTGCACCTTCCCTTAAAAAATATTTTTTTAAAAAATCTCAGTTGAACAAATTTAATTTTGAACAAACTTTCGTATGAACAACATTCCCTGATAAAAATTGGTTTGGAACAAATTGATTCCGTACTCATTTCATGTAACCCAAGGGGAAGGGAAATAATACATGTTAAAACTTGGTAATATGAATTTATATTTTTCCTTCCCAATAGTCACGTATAGCAGTCGTTCGCAACCTTCCTACTGCTGCGACCCTTTAATACAGTTCCTCATGTTGTGGTGAGCCCAAACCATAAAATTATATGTGCTTTCCGATGGTCTTAGGCGCCCCCTGTTTGCAACCCACAGGTTGAGAACCACTGATGTATAGTATTAAAATTTGAATTTAAAAAAGTAAGTAATTTAATTTGTATGAATTTAATGTTCAAATATAAGTTATTTTCCATTAATTCTTCTCTTTTCCAGTTTTTGTCACATTTGACAGAGCGCTTTGTAGTTTTAATGAAGATTTAATGATGTACAATAGTATTGAAGGAATATTATCAAAAGCTTATGAAAGGACACACTTTTATTTTCATATTTCTTTACTTTAGGAAAATTAGATATCATTGTAATATGTATTTTTTAATCGACTGTTTTTTTTTTCTTTGGCTAAACTCAAAGTGTAGTTCAAAGAAAAAAAAACACCAAAAAAAAAAACCCAAAACACCCCATTCTTTAAAAAAAAAAAAATTTTTTTTTTACACACTTTTATTTTCATATTTCTTTACTTTATAAAAATTAGATATAATTTTAATATATATTTTTTAATCGACTATTTTTTTTTTCTTTGGCTAAACTCAAAGTGTAGTTCAAAGAAAAAAAAACACCAAAAAAAAAACCCCCAAACACCCCAGTCTTTAAAAAAAAGAGAATTTTTTTTTTCATGGCTTGAGATTAGAGTTGAAATCCATGGGGACAACTTAAAATTTTTATTTATTTACATCAGTTATTTCTGGCATTATTAAATATTTTAGTAAAAATCTAATTACCGGTGTGTGCGAAGCCTTGTATTTTCATAGTGAGAAGACATGGGGAGAAATGTGCCCTGAGAACCTTCCACATCTTTGGCAAGTCTAATCTATAATCAAGCAAATTTACATGTCGCCAAAGAGAGTTGTCTTTCACTATCCGACGCCATTTTTTGCAAACACTGTAAAAAAGGTTTTATGAGACATAAGTATTTTATGGTTGACAACTATTTTTATACTTATCACAAAAAAATTCATAAATGTAATGAAGGCAGTGGTGGGGGAGGGGAGCAAACAATAGGACAGTATTCATCCAATTTATGATTTATTTATGATTCATTTGTAAATATCTTACTGCTATACAAATCAGTAATGTTTTCTTCAGTCCTTCACCAATTAATTATTATGGAATATTCAAGCATAATCTCATTAAATATTCCTACCATAAATGACTGTGATTTAAATGACTGACTAATGAATTTTTGTGTTAGTTTAATTATTAGGTAAAATACAATATTAGGCATTAGACAGAATGTATAGTGTTAGTCGGCCCAGGTGTGAAGGTGCTGGGTGGCAGAGTGGTTAAAACTGAGGCAGCCCAAAGCTTGTGGACTGGAATTCGATCCACAACAAAAGCCTAGACAAGCAAAAACAACACAAGCACTCCCACCCCAGGTGGATAAGACTCCTTAACTTTGGATGGCAACTCATCCAAGGGATGGCAAACTCTGTAATTAAACCCAGAGATGGAGTCCTATAGGCACTATGACATTGACACAATAAGACAACTCCTGCAATGTGGAATGCATAAGAACACAGTGAGACACAAGACTGCTGCTCATCTCCTGCATCCTGGTCTACCTTGACTAAGTTTGCCATTGGAGGCTGATGAACTGAGCAACTCTCCCTCACTTTAAACAAAATACAGTTCAAGTCGAAGCCTTGGTCATCTTCAACAATAATACCAGGTGTAGGCCTACTATAAAATATTTTAGGCAAATGAGGTCAAGATGCACAATTCCTAAAGGAAAGGTGTGAGGTGGGTCTAAATTTTCCTGCTCATTGAGGGTAAAATGTTGTGTAGTTTAATAAGATTCACATCTTGGTCGCAGTGTCAAAAAATATTTTATATTAATTTTTTTTATAGTATAAAACTATAAATTGTGAGCCCTGGAAGGATATATCTCTCTGTGCACTCCTGTGACATTTTCAAACATGACATCAGTCTCTGGCACTTCAATTAACTTCAATGAGAAAACAGCGTCCACTCTCTCTTTCTATGCCACCGAAAACCCAGTCGCCCTCTTTTCACTGTACCATTAATTGACATCAATAAAAGAATATCATTTTAAATAATTAAATGGCCTCCAATATACAGCACAATTTTTTAATAACACTGTTATTTATTATTAGCAGGCGCTGACTGAAGTGGCTGATGTAGATGACCAAATATTTATAATTTATTTTACATTTTCATTTTAAAAAAGCAACATGTTCTAAAGTAAAAAACAAGTCGACAATTATTGTTAAAAAGTGACAAATGATTATTGGCACTTGGTAATTCATTACAATTACGGTAATGGTATGGACATGGACCATTTTTTTCTGTTTAAATTTTAATAATTATTAATAGTTTAATTTAATTATTATTAATTTTTTCCCCAACCTTCCAGCTACGCAGCGGTCCTTCACTGGTAAATATTTGAATATTTCTAATAAAATATTTTCTGGAATCTTGATTAATTCATTTTTGTCACATGTTTCGGAACAACAAGGTTTTGTTGTTTTTTGTCTTTTAGATTTTGTTGTGTTCTCCATTCTGTAACTTTTCAACAATAATTTTTAGGCTGCATCGGGTATTTTTAATTGCAAATAACTATTCGCACCCGGAGTGCCTCCATACAGATTAAATGGCTTCGGAGCCGGGTGTGATAGCAATAATAGTATGAGAATTATTTTTTTTTAATTGTTTTTTCTCCTTGTTATTTCATAGATTCATAGTTTTATTCTTTTTAGTTGTTTTTTTTTATATTTTTGCTATGTTAATTTCTCTTAGGACGGGTATATTTTTTTCTTTCCTATTTTATTTTTTAGTTTAAGCCATTTTCGTAGATCATTTTTTAAAAAAAAAAAAAATCTAGTAATGAAGATGATTTAGATACTAAATTATTTAGATGATTTAGATACCCCACAGCCCCCTCCCTATGCAAGTGGATTGACTTTTTCTCTACAAACTTTCATGTGGGCGCCCATGGTTGGTCAGCTCTAGTTTGGTAGATGGCACTTAATTATTTAGATGCCACCTAAGTTAACTCTGGTTTGTGGTGAGTAAAATGAGAGGCAGTGTTAGTGATTTTATGTATCTGGATGGAACCAAATTGCTCTATTATTCATCTGTTTGCAATGGTGTTTATTTCGCTACTGACATATATTTCATTACTTTCCCGCTTTTCGCCTCTTAGTCTTAGTAAATCACCAGCTATTTATTGAGAAAGAAATCGAAACTGTCACAAATTTTAAGACAGGACATTGACAATTTTATTTAAAGTTTTAACAAATATTTCCCACATAACCCCCACCCATGGGCGCCC